GACAGTGACTATAAAAGACCAGATATTCTAAACAATAAAGTAATCAATACTTAGGAGAGCCAGAAAAAACAGGCGCGGTCGATTGCATGTCTAGAGTAGGGCAAGGGGAGGAAGCGATTGAAATCTCACGTGCAGATAGGATTCTTTGAAGAAGCGTTTAAGGATGCGACAAAATGAATAGAAAAATAGGAAATTATAGTAGTGTAGTAACAGAAAAATAATATATAAAACTAGATTACGCTAAATTGAAACGAGTGTTAAGTAAAGCAACTCAAAATTGCGCACCTGGCGTAAGGACGATGTGCCATGGCGACTGCCTCAACATATACAATGCTCGAGAATAAATATTACAAACGTCCAGGGCATCTTTTAGTCATCTCATGTCGAGCTGTGTTGCTTATGGTCCTGGTCCGTATGCTCACTCTAGAATGTCGAGCACCCACCCACATGATCGTGAAGACATCTTTTGCACTTGCATGTTGTGGAACTCGACAAATTCCATCTCATGATATTGCTTTACTCTCTAGGTTAACTACTATATCATTTGAATCATTCCTACCCCTGATCGAGTCATGTGATGCTCCAGGATCATGAGAATTTGTGAAAGCTAGACTCTTTCACGTGCTGACAACTAAATGGAACATGGTTGCACGCCTGTCAATCATCTCTGGTACAGGAAATATATTGATGAAGGTGTAATTGGAAACCACAGTGTTCAAAGAAAAAGTAAATTACTACAGCAAATGCAAAGAGCAAGAATGATATAGAAATGCACAAATACATTAATTTCCAGTTCTCACACTCACATTTTCTAAAAAGGTGACCAAATGACAGATCAGTCATCGGTGAAGGGTAGTGCAGAAGTGCTGAGGTAGTGCAGAAGACATTTCAAGTGAGAGGAGGACAAAAGATGGCATAGGCTGTCCATAAATTACGTAATGCAAATTTGGAGTATTTTGAATGCCCTTTCTACCTTCAATAATGCAAATGTAACGCACGCTTGAGCCCCCTAAATAATCACTTAATGCCCGCGACAACACCCACATTTACAATAAGTAAAAATAAACTATATAAAGTGAAAAAAAATAGTAAGTAATTTTATTTGTGTTATGTATTACATTTTACGATAATTAGTCAGGATGAGCTACTCGATGGGGACTGCACATATAACAATAATAATATTGAGGACGCTTTTTTAATGAAGGAAGGATACAAAGGCGATAATATTTCTGACAAGCGGTGCACATGCCGTCGTGGATGACGCATGAGCGAGGGTCTCCTTTACCTATTGAATTGGATTTTAATATATGTCATAGATGAGGTTTGAATATTTTCTAAATAATCTAACAGATTCAATCAATAAATCAATGCACCATTGACGAGAAAAAATATTTCCGTTAATTGTAATAATTTATTCATATTAAATTTTCATTTTAACTTTTAAAATTTTATTTTTTAATATTTTAATGTATCATATAGGGCTAAATAAAAATAGTTATTTTATAAAATGTAAAAAAACAGCGTTATTTAACACTTCACTAACACCCCTTACCCCTATGTCACACAGCGTAACGCTGTGCTGCCTCAACACTCCCCCCCCCCCAACGTTACGTAATTTATGGACGACCCCTTAGGGCTCCTGCACACAAGCGTTGCTTTGACGCACGTTAAGTAATGTACGTTGTTGAATAACACTGTATCTTCTGCGACGCGGTACACAAGCGCTTTGGCCGGTACAGATAAGTTTAAGATCCAGTGTTGATCAGATGGCCACGTCTGATAATACTGATGGCCGCGCTTGAACATTTACCGGTGTCAGCCGGCGGAGATAAGTAATCTAGAGAATAGTTATGTCACAAAGAAACCTACGTAGTGGTTTTTCGAACACCCAAAGGAGGCAAGTAAGAAAAAAAATGAAACCCAAAGCAGCAGACTACCACCACTGAAAACTACTCGCATTTTCGCGGCTGAGCGCACCCAATTTCTTTCCAGCGGCGCACCCTTGCACGCAGAGGGACCGAGGGGCTGCCCCACGGGGGCATCGCACCCGAGGCGTCGCGTCGCGTCGGCCGCGAAGGTTTGCGTGACAAGCGGCACAAATTGCCGTGGGGACCGGCGCCATCAAGCTCCGCTGACGGACCGCGCTGATAGGCGCGGGTCAATACCGCGTTTGAACTGATAGGCGCGCTGCTCCCCCCCTCCCCAACCGCCTTCGCCTCCCGCATCCTCCGCCGTTGCCCCCTACGTCCCCGCGCCGCCACACCTCGTGTCTCGGTTGGCTTTTTATTGATTGATTAATGCTTCCGGGCGCATCAACTATTGAATTATTTTGTCTCGTAAGTGCAGCGTACGATTTAATCTCGCGAGCTACCGATGATATTTTCTCGCTAGATGGTGAGATCCAGCACCAACCAACAGGCCGGATTGCTGGACACGTCGGATTTCCCCAACATGTGTGTCTGCTCCAGCTGGGAGAAGTTCTACGCTCCCGACTGGTATCCCGCCAGGAGTGATAGTGCAGTGCATGTAAGCGTAGTGTAAGTAAAGGATGGGGATATGACAAGATAGGGGAAGGAAATATTGCGCGCGGGCCGTGGCCCGTTTGTTAGGGTAGTGCTCCGGCATGTTGATAGGAGAAAGGGCTCGTCCATAAATTCCGTAACGCTAAAGAGGGGGATGGGGTTTGAGGCAGCGTTACGCTGCGTTACATAGGGGCAGGGGGTATTCGATTAGTGTTACGTAACATTGACATTTTTTACATATGATTTAACATTTGTTGAATTAGTTCCTTTTTTTCCTATACTAAAACGTTAAAATAGTGGCTAATTAAGATGTTTTAAAACATAAATAATTTATAGTCATTAGACGTTGCTACAAGAATGTAAATATTTTGTTAGTAATATTGTATTGAATCTGTAAGATTACAAATAAAATATTCAAAACTGATCAGTAGTGTTTTGTAGAATACAATTAAATTGGCGCCGTAGATTCTCATCCATGTGCCATCCAAAACGGCGACGTGTGCACGGCTGTGATCAGACGTTTTCTCGTCCTTGCTTCACTCGTCACTCGGCCTGTCGCTCGTCCTTGCTTCACTCTAAATCGACAGAATCGACAACTAATTCCGACTTCAAAACATCTAAATTTTAATACACAGAACAAATAAAATGAATATTTTTTTTACTGAGTTATAACATATTTTCATTTCTTGCATTTATAAGGGGGTGTCTATTGCAAGCGTTACGTAATTTTTTAGGGGGGGGGATTCAATCGCGCATTATGGGTGCGTTACAGAGGGGAGAGAGGACATTCAAAGTAGAATACAATTAAAATCCAAATTTGCGTTAAGTTATTTATGGACAGCCTCAAACCACGGAAAATCACCGATCATGGCAGCCTTCTCTTTCAAGCCGCGACTGAATGCGACGTATTTCGCTGGCGTCGAAAGTTGTGGTACAATCGGCGGTCGAACCCGGATTTCTCGCTCATAGGCACTGCTGTGACATTGATGCCTGAGCCATCTTTGCCAGTACTCGGTTGGCGGAGCTATCCCGCGCGTGCAATTAAATTACACGCGAACTCATTTTAGTCTTCCTGCGGCTTCCCGATCACTTCATAATTGTTTCATCAGAAGTCCGGTTTTTGAACAATGACCACACTGTTTACATTATTTGTAAATAATAATGACATCAATATATTTTAATCATAATTTTTAATACTGGTAATAATAGTGGTATGAGTGGCATTTTATTTTGCTAGTAGTATTTTGAGAGTGGTGAAAGTGACATCGTTTAGTTTGTGACAGGAGGTCGACAGGTGGCCTTACAGACATTTTTTTTAAATATTTAGCATACTTTTAGCAGTGGTACTAAAATTGAGCTTTAGTACGCAATACATGCAATGAAAGATCTTCTTTTACTAGTGTCTGTCTAAACAATACATTTCAAAAGACATTAACAAAAAGTTATCGCTAAAATTTAACCAATTAAAGAGAAAAAGTTAATTAATCTACAAAATCCCCAGAGAGTGGAAAGGAGGACTTCTTTCATATTCCAGGCAATTTGTACGTCCACACTTTTTGCATCCTGTAGCCCCTGTCCTCGGGAATTTATTTCTTCGATCATTGTCGCCCCCCTCCCACTACTCATATTTTTGTTGCTGAGATATATTTCCATCGTTCAATTGTGGTTTGTTAGTAGACATGGCAATAAATATTTCAATGTTTTTCTTTTATGCGGTATATAATCTTTGTTATCCAACGTCACATTCCTGCCTTCATCTATTCTCTTTGCTCTTTCATTATTATAGATCTATTTTTTCTCATTTCCTATTTCAATTATTCCGTTACAGCATTGAATATTGATTGACTGCATGAAATTGAAATTCTGCCATGAAAATTGACATTCAGATAGTTCCCGCTGTCATGCGTTTAAATATTTTCCTTTTTCTTTTTTTTCCCCACCTGGAATCCGTTCTTAACGTTCCCTTATAGGAGGTTAGATAATGTTTTAATGTGTACGGAAAACTAAGATAAGTGACAAAGCTCTGTTATCATTACTTTGAGGATTACATTACATTCCAAGTTTGCTACATAATCTTCACGACAAAATATTTGTGAAAAATAATCCCTCATCAAATATCCGATATTGTCAGCTCTAACAAAAAACATTTTAATGTTAGTGTAACTTGTATTATTTATACGTGCTTTGTTAATTACATTTCATTGATATTTGTGGAATTCGTGCTAGATCCACTACTTTGGTATTATCCGACAAAAATACAGTACGTATTCATTAAACAACAGCCGTCCAAATTCAGATTACAACATTCTCAAATATATTGTCATTATTTTAAAAAATATTGTAAACATTCATTGTTGTATTCAGTATGATATTTAAAAATTTTATCAATATCAATCAACAGACACAATGCTTTTAATTTGGCACATCCAGATCCGTTAGGTTAGATTACAATCTATCCTGGACATCATGATAATGTGCCTATCTGGTCTGTCTATGTCTGTAGCTGTCTACGTGGGGCTTTCCTTCTTCCCTCCGCCTTCCCACCCTTCCTCGAAACCGCCCGGGCCCGTCTCGGCCAATACCTTCAGGCGTGCGGCTCTTTTCATAAGTGCCGGCGACAGCCTTTCGGCCGCCGTAACGTGATGAATATTGCGGAGCCGCGAGCGGCGCGGCGGCGGGGTCCGCCGGGGCGGAGGAGGAAAACGGAATGTCTCGGAAACTTCGCACTCTCTGGCACTTACGAGATTGATTTCCAACGCGTCGGTCAGGAGGCCGTCTCAAGACTAAGGTAATTGGCTTGGGTCGGTTTATCAGTGACACGCAGATTGGTTCACAAAACACAGTGAATGAATGATGACTATGCACGACGATACTTTTAAATTGATGTGTTTGATACACTACGATTGTTTTACCTGACTCAAAATATCGAAATATCGGGTCTCTAGAATGAAATTTTTTGAGCTTGAAGGCAAGGAAAGAGGTCTGTCATTTTTTAAATGCAAGTAGTAATAAATAGTGCCAAATATATTGCAACCTCAGAAGGACAAATTTGTATCCGACTATTTTGCAGGAAAATATTTTGTATGAGCTATCTACTAATGATACTCAAAATTCTGGGATTATTTGTTCATATAAGGTTTTACGAGTTCGATTTGAAGATTGTTTTAAAATATTCTAGATCTGACAGTAGGAAATTCGAACTTTTTGTCGAAACATTTCAGAGAAAGTACCCTGTCGTTTTGGGGCCGCGATTCATCGAAATGGAGATCTTCGTCCTGAGAAAAGTGTAATCCCGCGCGCGAGCGCCATCCGCTTCGAGCCCTACTCACCAGGCATCACGTGGGTCGGGCAGCTTTCGTCGCACGGAGATGAGATCACTGGCGTACTGGTTGAAGGCGTTCTTGAGCCAGCCCTCGTCCACGAGGCGCTTCATGTCGGCGGACATGTTAGCGGGGAGGACGACGGGGCGGCCGTTCTCGCCGGGGCCGTCCAAGAGGGCGGCAGGGCCGTCGCGGGGCGCCACAAGCACGCCGCCCACGACGTCGGCGTCGGGCTCCGCCCCCGCCCCTGCGTCCGCCCCCGCCGCCCCGGCGCCCGCGCCCTTCCCTGCGTTCTTCTTCTTGAGCGGCGGCAGCGGCTTCTTCGGCGGGGCGCCCGGCGCCGGCACGGGCTGCGGCGAGGGCGCGTTGACGCGCGGCGCCGCCACCAGCCCCGCCGCCACCCCCGCCGCAGCGGCCGCCCGGTCGTCTGCGCCCGCACCCGCCACCGCCTCAGCAGCGCCACCTGCCACACACACAAGAACACACAGTCAATGCGCTGCACCGCCCCGCTCGCAATGCATGGATCACTGGCACTAACATCTCGACCAGGTTTTTGGCCATTTTCCTTATTTCACTGAGCAAATGCTCAGTGTTTCTTTCTTTGCTTCTGGTCATAAATGTTCCTTCACTATGTTCACATTTTTTAAGACCTATTTTTGCTTATTGTGGTAGATAGGAGAAGAGACGAGGCATGTCTTATTTTGTTAGAAATACTATAAAAACAAATATTGTGTAATACTCTAGAACAAAAATGTCTAGTTTTCAAATGTTGTTAAACACGCTTCATTGGTCATATCATTCAACAATAATTAGTGAAGTCGGGTAGGCATTTTGGAGCTCACAAAAACGAGAGTAGAATTAAACGTTCAAATCTGAAGATTATAGAACCAAAGAAATTTCCTGCAATGCTCGAATTATTTGGTCATATCTTTAGTGTAAACTAATGTAGTGTGCTTTAGGAAGCCACATACGATAAATGATGGCCCCCTGCTGTTTCTGTCTTTAATATCATGACATGTGCAAACACCGTTTCGTATCGCCGAAACGATCGTCCAAATCACTGATATATAACTCAGATTCGCACAGGGCACGAATTTATTATATGTATATACACAATGCAATTCGGGAGGAGCGACTACTATTTTTTTAAACAAACGTCTAAATCGAACTTGCTAGCAGATTAATAAGTAAATTTAAATTGTGTAAAACATAGCGACTAATGTAAACTATTTCTTAGCTGAATGGAATTTTAAACAAAAGAGAAAATGGAATTTGGTCTCAATGAAATTTTTAATTTCAACACTAAATATGTGAATTGTTTGCACAAACGACGGGAAACGAAAAATATTTACAAAAATGTTGTGAAGACGTGTTTTAATCTCTAAAATTAATTAAAATTAGACATATTATCTAACCAATAATTTTATACAGTTGGCAAAAATTCGGTAAACATTGTTAGTAAGATACTACCACAGATAAAAGGAAATCATTGTAATGTCAGGTATGGAAATTACGTTGGTGTTAAAACTAGATACTAAAACTCTGAATATCAGAGGAATTAATAATGGCCTGCGAAACGCATAGTTATTAGCGAAGTGCACATGAGAACGCCTCTCTGCTCTATTTGCTAGCCGTCCCGCTGCCTGTGCAAATTCTGTTGAATCGTCCTGGAGCACAATGTTGACACTTTTGTAAATCGCGCTGCGGGTACCATTGTATTACATGCACTGCGTTTCCCAGATTATCTCTTCTCTAAATCCCGGTGTCTGAGAATATTTTTTTTTAGACAGCACAGCAAATTTGACGCAAAGAATATTTGAATGAAGAGTAGCTAATTCTTAAATTTTTGGTTTAATTTTGTGTCACAGAAAATGCTTACGTTTTTGTAGAAAGCAAATAGATCGAGGAAAGATTATGTTTGTAGTTATTAATTTTTTTCATAACAGTTTTTGTGTGTATGAGAACAGAATGAACATTCACTAGCTTTTCTTGTTCATGAAGTAAATATACGATTGTAAACAGATACTAGCGCGAGGTAAACATTACATTTGTTCTGTGACAATAAAACTTAGTAATATTATGAAAGATAACACATGGCAATGAACACAGTGTAATTATGCCGTAACACAAGAGGCGTTCTATTGTTTCAGTCACGCTTCTGATTTACCGACGCACGTACTGTGTCGAAATATTTTGCCTCGACAAAGGTACCTATCTTAGTGTTTCCAAGAGTATATTCTTAGATTATCGCGCAAATGGAATACAATGTTTTGAGGTACATTTAAAAAAATTTAAAATGAGTACATCACTGACTTCTTCGTTTGTTCTTTACATTCTTCTCTGAAACCGAATAACTTGAATTTTATTTGGTAAATAAAAATGTGCTTGGTATCTTTATGTTAGAGTGGGTTGTGTATTTTTTAAGCAGTATAAAATATCGTTCGATTGCAAGATGAATACAATCACAGTTCTGAATTAGATGCATAGACATCACAGAACGGCATTATATGTTGTCGAAAATGTGTGTGCGAGAGCGAAACCTCGCTCTCGACTTTCTTGTGTCTCTTGCTCTTCATTTTCTGTTTGCATAATTATACACTACAGGCTCTTCGAAGTTGTCATGTGTCTGTTTGTAATGAAAGGAGTAAATGTCAAGGAACACTCCCGTAATTTTAGAAACGTAATTATCTCCGTTTTTCTGTGTATTGAGAAGTTTGTGAACAAATTGATGGTATTGGAATCATTGTTTTATAATTATTAATTGCAAGGTTAAAAAGATGTTATAATTAAAAAGGTTAATGATGCTTATCCTTTCCTTGTTCATTCTACGTTACCAAGATTCATGTTCACGAGAGTGAAACAGTATTCAGTTTCAAGTGTGAAGTCATCATAAACTGAGTTTTCCAAACTTTACTAGGGATATCTATATATTGAATATAACTCACTTCTTGCACACGTTCCTTAGAAAACAAGTAGTAAAATATAGATTTGTATCATTAAAAGTTGTAACACGAATGGATCTGCACAGTATTGTCTGTTGGGGTTTTAGCATGATATTACGTGTAATTTCCTTAAATACAACTTGAATAAAATCGTTACATGTAAGGTCAAGAATCCTATGACAGGTCAAAGAGAATGTTACGATCAAATTTTAAAAAGGAAACTGTCACAAAAAAAAACTGTGTCTGATGGAAAAATTCTGTATACATAACTGAATTCAATATGTAAAAACGCACTAGATTCTCTAATCAGATTGTTTGCGAAGAAAACCTTGTCGACCTGTGTTATAAACGAAATAAGAAAAATGTGCCAAATAAAATTATTTGGATTGTAAACTCTGATAATACATTTAATTATATTTAAATAAATACACTAATTAAACCAGATTTGTGTGTGATTTTGTTAAAAAGAAAGCTACCTCACTAAGTAGAACGCACTATTCACGATATATCTTTTTAGACGTATAAATAATAATAATAATAAGATTTTTTCGTGTTGTTGATAAGGAGACGCGATACAACTCTGATGTATTACTTTGATTATCCACAGGTAAAAATCCTTGAACTCCTCTCCTTATGTCGACCGTGCAATGCAAGTGTAACGCAATGTCTCTGTAAAGCAATGTCGACCGAAATACACATTAGATAAGGTGGGAGGCTTGTCTACTTGTCTAGACATCGACTTGTCTAGACAAGCAAACCAAAAAAGCGTATGTATACATTTTGTCACCCCTTGCGCTCGTTCAGTTTATTTGTCGCCGTGCATTGTCAATCTCTTCATCGCAGGTTGAGGCCGTCGCCACGGTGCTTTTGCCGCAGTCGATCACGGGCCCGGGGCCGCACCTGCTGCGCGCGGAACGGGGCGTCGAGGCATCGACCGGCCTCCGGATGCCTCGCGCTCGGCGCTCGCCTCATCGGTCGCCCCGTCAACCCGCCCCGCCCCGCT